GCTGGAGCAGGAGGTGTACCAAAGGGGAGCGCCGAGGACGTCGCTCAAAAGAAGAGGGGCGGTGTAATGCTTTGTTTATGTGACTATCTGACGTTTGGCGGTCACTTTAGAACTTGTCTAGGCCCAGAGCACTTGGGATGGCCTTCGGGCCACGCTGAGGCCCCCATTTCTCCTATTGTTTTCGGAATACATTTATTCAACCTCACTTATGCCTTCTACTACCCCATTTGGGGCGTCGGGACGCTACACGGTCAAATCCTAAAATGATCGCAAAATGTCGTGTGTCACATAAACAAAGCATTACATCTCCAACACAACATCCCAAAGGATCTTAATCTCCCATTTTTAATAAAATGGTAAAAGCTTGGCACCAAAGCTTTGATTTTACATTTACCAATGATATGGTTTAAAGATGTTGATTAAATTAAGTTCTTGTGGCAAAAAAAAATATTTGACTGCCTTTAAGCATAATCAATAGCGATGAGGGATTAGAGGCAAGGTCGACCATTTCTTTTGCGATGAGCGATTAAGCCAATGAAAAGCAGGCTATCAAAGTGTACTGCGATTTGAGCGTGGAATAACTGCGGTGAGTTGGATTGCGCCTTTTGCGTCAGTGGTGGCTACGTGGTAGCCATGGCTGTTCTTATTTCATCGGCTTTATGGAATCAAGTACGAATTAGATTTTATTGAATCTAGTGTAATTTACACAGCTTCATTTAGTATATGCTGGTATTCGACTCGTGGATATAGGGATCAAATCTATTAATCTGCCGCGTAACTTTTCGATTTGAGGATGTAATTTTTTACCCTTTTCCGTCAATTTTTGTGTTTTAGAATCGCCCTTCAAGTCCTACCCTCGTTTGCATTTTGATTTTTTTTCGGTTTAAAAGTATATCACCGTAGGAATGTTAGAGCTAACTGATCTTCAAAGTACGTGCTTTTCTAAATGAATATCTGCTAGAAATCGGTTTAGCCCTGATGACTATGGGCATAGCATTCTTCGGTCTTGGTATGATGCTGTTGTTTGACGCTGGCCTACTTGCCTTGGGAAATGTAGGTGTAAAATATAACAACTTGATATCCTAGGTTCTTTTTATATTTGGGCTTGGCCTTTTCATTGGTATCGAACGCATATTTCGTTTCTTTTTCCAACGACATAAGTTGAAAGGAACTTCCTTTTTTCTCGGTGGTATTTTTGCTGTACTCCTTGGATTCCCACTGATTGGAACAATAATTGAAATTTATGGGTCTTTCTGCCTCTTTGGGTGAGTCTTTTGTCCTCGTTTACTTCATCGTTTGAATGCACTACCTATATTAAACCAACTGGTAGTGATAAATTTCAGTCTAAAATCTCTCTTTGTTCCAGCGGTTTCATACCGGTTGTTATTCAGTTCCTCTACAATGTCCCTGTCATCGGATGGATTCTCTATCTGCCATTTGTTAATCGAGTACGTGATCGGTATTGTTATCGATACTGCCGTTTTATAGTTCTACAGTTAGATCCCCTAAATACACTGAGAATTCGTTCTAGAAGTCCGGAAAATACTATGTCGAGTCGAATTTCGTTCTAACATTGCCTATTACATCATAAGTACGGAAAAATGACCTATTTTTCTTTTGTAGGTTGTCGTAGCACT